ATACGAATGATTATTATTACTATTATTATTATTATTAATTATTATCGAAGCATCAAAATATTCATAAGTTATATCAACCGTTTGTTTCTCGAACAATATATGTTTTTTCTATATCTCTCCGTATTAAAGCAAATAATAAAAAAATCTCTCAGTGAATGTTAAGAAAAAGATAAAAAAACGATAACAAAGAAAAAGCCCAAGGCTCTCTGGTTCTCCTCCTCATTGATATAACCCAAACACCCTTTTTTTTCTAATTTTTCATTCGTGTGATACATCCGAGTGGTTTAAGTTTGTACCCAAGCCTGTTTCTTGCAACTGATAATCATTTAAAGCGTCTGAACGATTGGAACTGAAAATTTCTATGAACTTACACCACTTGCCTTCTCAACTTCTTTAATAAATCTACATTTTTCTTTGTATATTAAGCGTTTTAGTTGTTTTTATGACTAGCTCGATTTATAATCACATAAAATGCTGAACGATACATGTGCATCGACGTTTCCTTACATTCAGGCCTCTTTTATGCATACGTCGCCACTGTGAAGATACAAGTATAGAATTGATTGAATCTGTTTTATAAACCAATGACAAAATAGTCAATCAAACAATTAACTTTTTATTATCAAGAACTTATTACAAGCCAAAAGACAACCTATATACAGCAACGTTTGCATAGAAGAGGCCTCATTGAGTACACCCAAATAAAAACCCAACAACAACCTGTACTGTCAACTACAACTCCAGACACCACAACATCATGACAACAGCGAAACCACTCAAAACAACCCCGTGAGAAACTTCTCTCCACGCAGTGGAGCTACTGGTCACGTTGCAGCAATTATCCATCGCATGTTCAAGAACCATTGGATAATATTCATTCCAAAAAGCCAATGCTTTGTAATCCACAGCATTCGAATCACTCATATCGATGTTTCTATCGATAATCAGGATCCCAGGCTCTTCCTCAGTGTATGCTTCCCACTTGACGTTGTTCAGTGATGGATTGCCAACTTTGGCAAAGCCAGCCATCATCATCATCACTACCTCAGCCATCTTCTTGTCAGCAAAGTTCCACTGAACAGGACTACTAGGTGCAACTGGAAGTCCCCATACAAATGGAAGTTCGAACATATGGGGTACACCAGCCCACTCAGGCACATCTTTAGTGACAGATTGTGTCTTTGGTCTATAATCAAACCTGTAAACGTATGCCACCTTCTCTTTGGATACCTTACCAGCCAACTGAGTGAGCCCAGCTGCGAAGTTCTTCTCAGTCTGTAGATCCAAGTACCTGTCTCGAAGCACACCCTGATCCTTGCTTGGAGGCTGAGGTTTGTAGAAGAATAATACCGCCTCAACTACCATCTCTGGCTTCAGCACACAGGTGCTATTGTCTTCTGGACTCTGGACCACCGACACAAATTCATCGGTGATCAGCATTTCAAAGTGGCTGTACGAAAGTTTCCCATCTGTGTTCCCTTTGCCCAGAGACTCCATGTAGGCCAATGCCTGTTCATTGTTTGTGTAGCCAACAAGCAAGGGAACAGAGTTCAAAGTGCCACTATCTAATGCATCTTTTGGATGCATAGGTAGAAACGGTTCTGTGAAGTTGTTGGTCTCGTAATCCACGATGGGACCCCAGGTTTCTATTTGTGAAGATTCGCGTACCAGGATGTTCACATCTACTCTGCGAAGACATTCCATCAGAGCTGCTGTAGGATGTCTGTAGCAGCCAAACTTGTCAGCAATGAAGTCAACTACTGGCAGTTCAGCTTGAGGGGATCCCACAGAGCTCACTGCATCTCCACTCATAGCTATGGCCTTGGAGAACTTGCCTCTACTCATGGGACTCACCAGGTGTAGACCTACACTTATAGCACCTGAACTGTGACCATAGATGACTACGTTGGATGGAGAACCTCCAAAGTACTGGATCTTCTTCTGCACCCAATCCAGAGCAGCTATCTGGTCAAACATACCATAATTGCCTGGAGCCTCTGCATCTGTGGTTGTGAAGAAGCCAAGGATATTGAGTCGATATGCCACTGTGACCACCAGAATCTGCAGGAGAAGGATATGATGATTAGATTGTTAGCATGTTAGGTTTAGAGATTCTAAGGAGCTTTTTTAAGAGGATGCGCAAGAGGCAATATTGTTAATGATAGGATGATAAGTGTTTCAAAAAATTACATGTTCCTTTTTTAGGGAGGAGTTAGGATTGTTTGATGATGAGTGACTGCAGGTGACTGCAGTTTATATTTTCTGAACCAGTTTTTTTCAACCTTCCATAGATCAGATTCGAAAAGAAAAGGAGAGCTTGAAAAGTTTTAGGAACATGTGAATGTTACGTCGACAGTTTACACTCCATGGTTCGTTCTGCTTCAGATAACAGTAACATGTTAGATAGGAGAATGTTTATAAGGTAGATTATTAATATTGTCTATATAAGATTTTCTAATTATATAACGTCGTTTTTACATTGCTTTGCAAGACTTATTAACGAGAGGTAAAACAGTGTTAGAAGAGAGAGAGGTTATAGTTAGAGTATAATGTAGCTAGAGTACAAGTCCCTAGTATTACTGTATAATACAATCGTTGTACGTTTATATGACAATTTTTAAGAGTCGTTAAACGTGTTCCTCCCACCCTCCGATAATGAACGCGCGTTAATAGCGTACCAGTGGCCACAGTTCCTTAAATTAGCATTTACAGCGGTACAATAAGGCATGCATCATGGATGAACCGTGGCCCCGTGCGATTCCAAAGGTTGAATTTACCTTGAAGCAGTTAGAGCACGCGAGAAACACCCTAATACCTTTCGATTTTCTGTCGACTTTCAACGTTCAACCCCCGATTGATTCAGAATCAGGGATTCTTTTCTACAATATGTACAAGTTTTAAGGTCAAGATTATCACTTGTCAATCGCATTACGCCTTTTTCCAATGTAAAAACCAAGAAACCAAGTTGAAATTCGTCATTTGTTAGACAGTATCTTAGTAGTGTTAGAACGTCCTTCTATTTTGAACAATTTTAAAATTGTATTCTTAAACTGGATATGTTTGAAACACCCTGTATATTGTAGTTTTGTAACGATTGTTCTATTATGCCTTAGGATCAGTTTTTTTTAGAATCCGATTATTATCGTATACGAACATTGTAATTTTTAATACTTTCTAGTATCTAATATATTTGTTAAGCAACTCACTTTATGTTTGGTGACAAAAATGGACGCGTCCCATATTGCTGGTGTGCCTGTGTTGAAGTCGCCGCCATGAAACCATACCATCACCGGCCATCCACCATCTGGTCTGTTTCCTGCACAAATTTCAGTCTATGCAATATATAAAATATTAAATAACACAATATATTCTACTTGTTCAAATGACATTTACATTTTTAAACTCCTTGTGTAATTTAAAATTTAAGAAACTTCATATTTCCCGCTTAATCATTCCTTTATGGTAAACTATACATACTCATAATTACCGTTTTATGAAATTTTTATTATCCATCGTTTTAAGAAACAATCAATGGAAGAGATAAGAAAGAAAAGCACTATCGAAAAATTTGACAATGACGTCGATCTCTAACGTGTTTCACGCTTGGAATTCGAAGAATTAACGAGGCTGCATTCAAGAATTCCAAAGATCGCGGGGAACACGTGCGTGCTCGCAAGTATGCATCCCTGTTTCCGGTCGAACCGGTAAATCGATCGTGACAGAATTTGCATACCGTCATTCGTCGCCGCTTTGAATCGCTTCGAGTGACCAAACATTCCCAGAAGACTTTCAGACACTTGAAGGAATTCTTAAATTACTGTAAAATCGACCAAATTTATTGTATAGAAGTTTTACAGGTTATGTAAGAATTTCGAAGATATAGGTTAGCTTGTCAATTGTATATCTAACCTTGTACAGTTGAAAAATTACAGAGAGTAGTGGAAATAAATTATTGAAAAAATATTTCAGAAAAAAGAATCCAAACGAATGATATAAAAACGACAGCGAAAATCTGACATGAATCAATTAAAGATTCATTGTATAAAAACATCGAAGAAGTATGCAATGAGTGCGGTTGAATGCGATCCGTCGGAAAAGCTGAAACTTTGATGAAAACAATACTGGTTCTGGCTGAAAGGCACGAAGCCCATCTGGCCGAGGGCTAGCGCTTGAATAATTAATTTCGGTAATTTCTTCCATCGGGACGGTGGTGTGTGTGCGTTGTGGCGTGTGGCCGATTTTTGAAGCGTGCCAAGGTCGAAGAAAATTCAGGCCATTGCACGGTGGGATGCTTTAGATGGCACGATATCACGGCAGACGATAGAGGTTCGGTAACCGGAAGTTCGGCCTGGTCTTCGTTATCGGTGGCCCCCTCTGATGGCGTCTGAAATGGCCAGGAATAGCCTTTCATAGGGATACAATCCCACCGCCACGATTCATTAGAATGCTTATCGTGATTGCACACGGCACGAATCTTTTTCCTGGTATACATCTGCTGGATTATTTAGCTGGTCTGAGGGTCTGTTTTTGGTTTTAGGGACGTCCCGTTTACGTAGGTCAAGAAAGAGGGGCATTTTACGAGGCTGGATCTGGAGTTTGTAGTTGATTTTAGGTTAGTTTCACCCAGATGTGGGAGATTGAGAGAAGGAAATGAGGTTTGAGGTGATTTTATAGGAAGTCTTTGTACAGATTGTTTGTTCAAGGGTTTTTTAATGATTTGATTTAGAAAGCGTTTGTTAATAGTGTTAGTTGAGCTTGAGATATGTGAAGTTTGGAATAAATGTTTACCAATTTCGAGATGTTATGTGGTTGAAGTTAGGAAAAAGGTTAAAAAGGTTTATCAAGTTTGAACTGTTATATTGTAAAAATTAGAAAGTATATTACAAAATTGTGAATAGTTGTAAAATTTATTGCGTTACATTACAAAAATTAAGAAAGAACATTTGAAAGCCATGAATAATAGTAAGATTTAAGATATTACTTTACATAAAGTGCTAGTCCTTAGTTTCATATCCTCTGACTATCAAATTCACAGAATGCCCACAAGATACTACAAATTAACTATGAATCACAGCCTTAAAACTACATCTCACACGTGATTCAACTACTCTATACATCCTAACCTCAAAAAGATCCACACAATAAAATACCTTTACCTATGAACTTCACTTAAGGGTTTAAAAATAACCTCAAACCTGCAAACATTACCCAGACATATAAAAACAACAGTCTTCTTTACATTTTACGATACGTTTCCTTGTAAAACAACATTCTACAAAAAAATTTGAGCGATAATTAAGAAATCACGCCGATTAGGGGACATTTGGTGACAATGGTGCATGAAGAGAGGAGGTTAGCCAAGACAAAGAGAGAGTAAGGGGGTGGTTTCGTGACCGGCCTCAGCAGTATCTTAACATCTCGACCAATCCTAAAAGATCGCGTGCCACGACGTGCGCCAGTTACTGTTACTCTTGCTTCTTGCTGTTTCTATATCGACCGGAGTCGACTTTGCGGGATCGACACGATTTCCCGATTCGCCGTCTGTGTCCCCTTTCCTATTTTCCCCCTTTTCGAGACGGCCACCGTGACACGCGTACCTTGCACGCGTTCGCTTCTTCTTAAACCCTCTACAGGGTGATTCGAATGTCCTATTACACTTATATCGTAAAATGAGAAAAAGAAAGGAGTATAATAATAAACGTGGATCCAGAAATTGTTGGGTTTTAGAAACATAACCATGTTAGGTTGCCATAACCTGATTTCATAGGAAATGGCAGCCATGTTGGAAGCCATTGATGTGTAAATGCCACAGGTTGAATTTCTAACCTAATTACGTGCATTAATTATGAATTCTGTTAGCTTCTGAAAAGTTTGCACTGTGGGAAAATGTGGTATCTTAGTGAGAATTAACGTTTGAATTAGTTTTATTGTACTGCGTGAGCAAAGAAGTTATAAAGTTTTATCTCTGTTTGCAAAAAAACGTGTAGTAATTGTTTTCTGGTGGTAATAATAAGAATCTATCTTTTTATTGAACTCCAGTGATGTCACTGATGTCTAATTTTTAGTTAGAATAATTCGCACTGCTATAAACCTGAAACCTAGAACCTAGGTTTACCTTCTTCTTTCCTAGAATCCTTAAAATAATGAAATTTAAAATTCAAAACAGTAAAATTGCCATCACTTAATGCATTTCCACTCAATGTAAGGAATATTTAGCAAATTGCTCTTTCTTTTGGCAATAATTGCCATCGTAAACCTGTCTCCTATGATTGATCTGTTTGATTCACAGTAGCACACGTGTTCCCTTTCTGTTACCTATCTTATAGATCAATCTGGCAGTCTTTACTTTCTTCACCTACCATGCAATTGTACAAAATACTTCACGCCCTTATCGTCTTCCTATTCCAGCCGTTTTCACATCTAGCACTCTTATGTCTCGTGCAGGTCTTTATAAAGGAAACTTTATAAGCGACCCTAAACGAATGTCCTCGACCTATATTAAAGAGACTTATAAAAATGGCCATATGATAATCTCGCTGGTGGCATTTATCAAGGGTTTTTCCAAACTACATGAAATTATAGTGTTCAAGTTTTCCTGGTTGATAATCGCTTGTTCTACCAATGTACTCCACTAATCTCTCGACAATCGTTGAACAAGAGCCATGTTATTACATGTCACCTGGACTGCAATCTCAATGTTGAGCAAGTGCTATCAATTAGATCAGGATTTATCTGTTTCTTGGAATCTTGCAAATTCCTAGAAATTTAGGGAAGAAAATGAAATTAAATTGAATTAAGTAGAAATATATAAGAATTTCAGCGAGAAATATTTTTCAAAGAAATATTGTTGTTGCAGATACAACCTTCGAAAGTTCAACTTTCTTCTTGCAATTTATGAGCACCAGGGTGCACGAGACAATCGAAATTAGTTGGAAATGATGCCCGTAATGGCGCTATTAGCTTAGTCCTTAACCGACATCCTGCAACGACGAGATTTACGTATCGCTGACACGCAGCCGGTCTCATTTATTGTCAATCGAGAAATTATTCTCGATAGGTCACCGTATATATTTTACATAAAATGTATAAGCGAAAATTGCGGTGAAAATGCTGCAATCAACCTGTTATAATATGGAAGCATATGTATATGTTTTCGTAGAGAACAGTCCAAATAAGGGGACAGCCTATAATAGAGACTATAATTGAGTGGAGTGGTGGGAGTACGCCACTTGGTGGCCTTGAGCTACGTTGATTTTAGACAGGCTGTACGCGAGCTCTGAAATGCTTGCACGAATACTATGCCAAGTTTGCAAATGAGACTGGAATTATTTCAATTGGATTCTCAATTCTTTCACCGATTTTTCACTCTACTTTAATTACATATATAATTTTTTAGTGTACATTAATCACATAGAAATCATCAGATTGTTAAATCTTCGTTTTTAAGTACACTCATGGAAACATCAAATTAATGATTCGGACAGCATAGAGAAATTCGAGATCAATTTTATAATATATACTTTCTTCCTTCAAGACTGCTTCCAAATAAAATATTATTAACCTAACCTAACCAAACAACTAACGCCACACCAATTCCTCAACTCGCTAATACCAATCGCTCGTACAGGTCTTTAAGTGAAATTACCACTGTGCACACGGCGTTATTAATTTTCCATGCAAGCGCGATAAAGAAAGGGCAGCTTTCTTCGCAAGTTTTTCCTCGAGAGACGAGATAGCCATCGAGTCACACCAATCGCGCGCGCGATACACCGCCATGAGAATAAGAAACAAGCCTCGGTGATCATCGTCACTCGCGTGCCTCGGCGAGTTAAATGTCCCGAGAGAGGAAACGTTGCCGTGTCGAGTATCGAAGGATTTCATCTGATCTTCATCGCTCTTTCAAGAGTTACGATTACTTGCGGGTTCTTTGTGTCGAGCGAGCTGTAGCGAACGCGATTGTAAAATTTTCTTTAGCAGGTAATGACGCCGCGATGCTAAGTGGTTAATGAATACTACGAGAACTGGTCGTTTCGAATGGAAAGTGGTTCGGTTATTTTTTCGATGGTTGTCTGAATGTCGGAGAATTATAGGTATTGCGTTGTAGTATCAAGTGGTGTAAGTGGAATTATTCTTCGGCAGAGGTTAATTGATCGTAAACGAAGTCTGTAATTAAAAGTTTATTATGTCTGGTAGCCTCGAGTGAAAGTATCGCTTGCGTAAAAATGTAAGGTTATGAACGAGGTTAATAATTTAGTATTTATGGTGGCAGGTAACTTGAAATGGAATTATACGGTCATGGATTAGCTCAGTAGTTGGACATTTATGGTATCAGGTGGTATACAATAGGATTATCTGTTGTTCAAAATTAAATACCCATAAATGGGGGTCAATAATTGGGGATTTATGGTGTTGGCTGATTTTAAATAGGATTATCCTTTGTTTAAAATTAAATGACCATGAATGGGGTTAGTAATTGAGAATTTATGGTGCCAGCCAGCTCTAAATAGGATTATCTTTTATCCTGAATTAAGTGGTTATAAGTAGGGTCAATAATTAGGGACTTATAGTATCAAGTGATTTTCAATAGAAACATTCTATAATGTTAGCTGACTACTGAATCACTGTTGCCAACAGCAATAATTTCATATTCCTAGATAATTCCTACTTGATTCAAAAATAAAGAAAATACTTGACAAATTTACAGAGTTGGTGGTGCTTGTTTACAATTTCTACTTCCTCTTTTTTATATTTTCAATTTATTTAATATTACTTTCACTTACCATCTGGTGCAAAGATGTTCAAGTACAGACAATCCTCACTGACTCCAGGATCAAGTTGATCAGGTGGTAGTAGCCTTTGATAATGTTTCTCATGCAACTTTAGACGATTTGTCATTTGTTGGCAAGATGGTGCAAATTGTGTTGCATTTCTTATACCAGTCCAGGAAGGAAGAGGGTCAGTAACAGCGGCAGAGAAGCGTAGTTTTCCTATTGGTGGTTGGGCGTAAGGGATTCCCAGATATTGTATTACCTTTTGATTTACACTTAGAAGTACCTGTAGTTCAAGCAAGAAAATCATTTTTCATATATTTATTCAAAAGCGAAAGTAAAATAAATAAACCTAATTACTAGAAAATTGGACAATTACTGTAATCGATTCTTAATTTTTAGGTTAAAATTATTTTCAAATATAACCATTCCATTCTTAACCTACAAAAAAATTATTACGAACCGAAACAAATTACATGTTATTTGCTCATATGATGAATTTCTAAGGAAAAGCTAAATCTTCAGGGAGATTTCTCGACGAAATACGAATTTACGTGTGACAAATTACGCCTCTATAGGCGATCGAAACTAATGTTACCAGGTGACTAGCAATCAAAGTTTCAGGTCGTTTGAACTTGGCATTATTAGGTTTGAACACAATGTAACAATAGTTGACTTATTTTTTCAGGCGCAATTAAAATTGCATTATTCACCGTTCACACAATTCTTCGTGATTTTTATCGAAACAACATTTCTTATCGTGCGAGCATAAAATTGCAACAAAATGGAACTTTCTCAAACGAAGCTTAATGCACACTAAAAAATCAATTGAAACACTTTTTAAACTACTAAAATATCTACTATTACAATACTGTGAGTATGGTAACAAAAATTTAACGAAGAACACATTTTTGATTAAAAATTTTATTTTTCATGAAAATAAACTCACACTACTATGGCATAAATTTAACTATTAAACTAATTCAATTCAAAATAGATGTTTTGATGAAAAAAGTTTCACGAGTGATTTGAATGTTATATTTTCCAGGAAAAGTTGATTTCATCGGAATGAAGGAGAATAATTATACGCGTGACTAAGGTATAGCAAGGTCGAGGAACTTTTTCTCGGGGCTTCCTTGAAATTACATCGTAGCTCGAATTTCAAGGGAACGTATGAAAAAATGGGGAAAAAAGCTGATCTATACGTATTAAAATTCATAAATGTTGGCCCAGTTAAGTATTCGTCATGCATATTATCTGCATGTACTTAATTCAAACAATTGAAACTTACGGTGCTTGCATGTTATTGTTCGTCACGCGGTTAAAATGTCAAATACTTATTCAGATGTAGCTTTCTCGTTTCAACGTTTCTATATGGGACAGTGATATATGCGTTTCTGCTATACTAGGCTTGTTCGTTATGCAGAAACGATGTTATTAAGAATATGAGAAACAGGTTCAAAGGGCAAATACGAAGTAATTATGGTTTGTGGTTGGGCTGGAGGTTTTTTTAGCAGATTTTACATATGCAAATTTAAAAATCAGAGAGAAATATTCATTGAAAAGGTTCTTTTAGATGTAGGAGAATTTTAACATTTAAAAAGAAAACTTCATTTTGCTATATCAGCAAATATTAATATTAAAAACCTGCTGTGATAGTTTTTGTTCCAAAAGTTACAATATTTTGTGCTATTCAAAAATTCTATTGTTTACAGTTGCAATATTACTGGTGCCAATTTTTATTCTAATTAAATAGGTACTTCCAAATTTCTTCTATCATTTCTTCAAACATTATTTATCCAATTACATTCTGTCTTAGTGAAATTTCTTTAAACTCAGCTCAATCGTTAAAAATATCTCTATAAAATCTTGAACCCCTGTATAAGGAGATCCTCACAAACTATCATAGAAGAAAATTCGTGAAAAATTCTGAAGTTCTTAAAATGAGAATTTCAACCTACAATTTGCAGTACATCTGAAATCCTTAAAGAGTTAAATCAAAACTTAAAGAGTAATTTCAAAGCTTCTCAAAAAGTCCTCATAAAATTTACACACTCATCATAGAAAGTACCAAATTTCTTTAAAAGAGAACCTCAACCTGTAATTTGCCGCAGGTCTGAAATCCTCAAAGAATTAAATCCATGGAAAACGTACTTCTACAACTCCTGAAAAGATCCTTCTGAAAACCCTAAACCCCAAAGCACACTAATGATCAAACAATACACACTTCCATCACCAGCCCAAACAACCAAACAGCACCTGCGTCCTCTCACCAGACACCCATACAACAACCACCCCATGCAACTCCATTTACCAATGCTAAAAAGAAACTCAAGAAAACTTTCCCTCAATCTCTCAGCAACCAACTTTTCAACTAGCTTAACATGAAATACCCAATAAATGATGGAAAAAGTGTCACACCTCCTTGCCAGCCACTGTTCCTTGTTCAAAGATCCTCACAAAAGGCTGTTCCCTGCCTAGACCTTGCCTCGCGTGGGTCCTCTGGGAGCGGATAACCGGTAAACCGGCGAAGAATTGCGGGAACAGCGCGAAAAGCAACCACGCGGAACACCTCATTCTGCAGACTGACTGATTTGCCACGGAAACAATCGGCGGCACGGGTTTCTCGGTTGAACTCTCGCGTGACCACCCTCGACCAGCTTCTCCTCCTCAGCTTCGGTGGTTCGAGGCCTGCGCTCTTTCACCTGCAACCCCCCTGCACTGGCAAAGTCCTGTTTGCTCGCCATGGGTTCGCCCCTTATGATGCATTTCGTGTACTTGAGGTGTTGTTTGAGTGATTCAGAAAGAGATGGATTTTGGTGGATGTGGGTGAAAATTGTATTTGAATGATTTCGTTGGATTTTGGAGAAATGGAGAATTAGAAATTGAGTCGATTTTTGTTGGAGGAATTCAGAATTGAAAATTCAGTAGATTTGTGTGCATTGTATCTGTGTTACTAAAGTGTTGATTTTTGGGAATTAAGAGTGGATGAGATATTGAGTCGGACTACTTAAACTGTTGTTTGAGTTGGCTTAATATTTGAGCCACTCAGAAGCCAAAATGACTAACTCCATAAAATAAAATTTATCAAATTTGCTTCATTTATGAAAAATTAAGCACCAAGCATGTGCTTTGATACTAAAATTGGAAGAATATAAAAAATTGGCGTTAATCATTTTGACTTCAGAATGGTTCATTTATTACCACAACACATTGGCTTAATGTTTATTCAACTTTTATACGGCACAAGATCAGTGGTTAAGCATCACGCAAGAGGAAATGAAACTAAAACTAAAATTATCAAGATCGTACTGAAATTGTTTACACGCTTAATTTCTTCATAATTCGGGAACCAGGTAGAACCGTACCCAATCCATTTGCACGCAATACAAAATATTTATTGCGTAATTTATTCATAATTCAGAAATCAAAAAGCACCGTGTAAAATCCTGTTTGCATGTAATAAAATTACTGGAAATATTTATTGTTGCAATAAAAAATAAAAAAAGGGAAAACAGAAAATGAAACATAGATAGAACGATATTTATCTGCTGAATCGTTGTCACATCCATTTAATTTCAGTTGGAGACTTATCTACGGTGGAAACGAGAGTACCGATACCATTCAATTTCTTAAGTAAAACTTTAACGGAGGTGAGGAACGTTTATTTTCAGGCTAAGATACGCCGCGAACGATAAGAAGAAAAAAGGCGGAGGTACGAAGAAAGGAGTGATTGAAAAGTGTGGCGGTTAGCGTGACCGCAAAAATCGAAGGAACGAAGAGATAATGAACGGGAGCATTATGTAATATGCGCGTCCGATATAGGTGAAAGGTGATATTGTAGTTTACGGACCGAAGGCGGCCAATTAGGCCGATGAATTCAGTGTTGAAAAGATTCGAATGCACAAAAAGGTACAAACTGTCATACGTGACCTATAAAGTCCTCCATTCTATCGAACAACGTCAGCGTAACATTTCAAACTTTTTGTCGTAATTTTGAGACACCTTGTGTATTAAAGAACGAAAGAAAACACTAATCAGGAGAATTTTATTAAATAATGTCAATCTGATATTTCAAATCTTTTTCCCCTTAATTTTTAGACACCTTGTATATTAGAGAACAAAGATAAACGCTAAAATTTCCTATTCAGAACCGAAAGTTGCAATAGTCTTGTAATACTTACCCAACCTCGCGTAATTTTTGCCTCATTATGCAATTATTTCCACATTATTCAATCTTATCAGAAAATGCAAAAACGAATCAGAAATTCAAAATAGCGCGGGTTATGGGTATAATTCACGAAGTTACGTGTGTTTTGGCAACAACGATTTTTCTGTTAGGTTCAGGTAAATTGACCAATGTGTGTTTAAGCGGTGATTTCAGTGGATAGAGTGTCTAAGTGTCCTTGAAAATCGATATGGAGGGTCTTTCGCCCCGGTGGCGTTGCAGCACGCTATCATTAAGATGCGATCTTCATGCGAGCGTCACCAGCTAGCACGACCTTGAACGTGGTGTCGCTGAAAAATCTCCAGAAAGAAAAAATATTATAATTACACCCTGTATCAAGGGAGAAAAGTTTAACGGGCGTCATGGTTGATAAAACTGTCGAAAGATTTATGCACGATTATCACGTCAAACTTAAGTAACAAAGGGCTGTTGCACTTGAATCTTGGGCACCATGTTGACAGTTTTGATGGATCTTAAGCGCATGCACATTGAGGTTAAGATATTGTAGCATTGTTTTTTCGTTTCTTTATTTATTTTTTTGTTTTTATCTGGTTCTGGCAGAGATTTGAACATTAAATATTTGGATTTTAACGATTTCACCTTGAGAAGCTGAAACTGTTAAGCTGTGGCCTTGAGGAATGAAGGTCAGTAACCTTTGCCCTTGGAAGACAGGTCGATGAACCATCGTCTAAGACTTGAGATCAATAATACTTACCTTGGGAAGTTTAAGGTCAATAATCTTTATTCTGGAAAGCTCAAAGTAAATAGTTTCTTTTTTCGAATATAGAATTGTTGAAATTTAATAACACTGTGATTGAAATTATGCGTACATAATGTGGTGTCTCAGGAAATGCACAAAAAATATTTCACTCAATTCATTTGAAATGGGAAAGACACGCAGAGTATGAAAATGTGTTTTATTTTATTTTACTTTAAGAAAGATAGAAAGAGAATTTTATCCATATTTAGGAAAGACTGATTCAAGCCATTTCAAGACCGTTGCGCCATACGTTGCCTTTAGGAAGTTTTTGTGAGCACCGATGGTAAAAAGATCTCGCTGTACTATCGGTAACCGAGTTCAACTTGATGAAGAACATTTTACAATAAATAGAAATAAACGAAATATCAAAATGCCAATCCTAGCACCATTAAAATTTGCGTGCTTTCACGCAATGAGAATTAAAACTGAAATTTTTATAGCTTGAACTGTGCCTACTGTATTAATTTATACATTGGTATATTAAGCAAATATATTTAAAAATATTCAAACAGTACATTATAGTTGAACTTGACTTTATGAGTTTTAAATTACGAGTGTCGAATTGAAGTTAATTTTTAATAACTTCGTCTGCACATGCGCGTTCGTTGAGATTCAACAGTGGGGGAATAGAATTCGTGTCGGAGGAAGATTACTGTTAGTCCATATACGTCTCCTATTCGAATGTTCATGCCGCGGTCAAATCTATTTGCGAATATTTGTTTAACCGAAAATAATGCAAATTATAGGTAATTTACATTAAACAATTACACATACATATTCTCTTAGTATGTACAATATGTTTTGTAGTTCGTTTACAAACGTAATATTCGTCGTACTTAATCCCCGAATATCTTCAATTGCTACACGAAGATTAACTTACTGTTTTAGATATATTGTAACCTAATATCTTGAGAAATACAATTCTAATCTTTCTAATACAACGATCGAAGAGTTTAGTGTTAAATTATCTCTACTATATACTTCTATTATCTCTAGTATTTCAAAGAAATATATACTTCAAACTCTATAAACAGTAAAACTTTGAACAACTGCGTCGCCATATTGTGACGTCATTCTTTTCACAGAAAAAGGCGGTTATTTTATTCGAAACTTCATATTGCAAAATATTAAATTCTCACCTCTGTTTCAATCTACGACAAATTTCATAAGATAAACATTATAAAGAGTAACCATAAAACTTCCATTTCGAAATCAACCAATCGCGATCAACCCGCCGACACTCGACTCGTTCAGCCACAGCTCTCAAAACCTCCAATCAAACGACATCACCTCCCCGTCCAATCGCAACACTTCACCGAACAATTCTTACCTCTCTCAATCAAAACCATGCATCAATTCGCTCAACGCTTGCAGTCGTTACGTATCAGCCGAAAAGCTACGACGAGCAGCGCGCGGGAATCCCGGGAAAAGGCGCAACAAGAAGCTCTATATCAGCAGCAACGCAGACGACGGGTGCACTGTGAAGGGTTAAAAATACACGCATATTCGACGGTCCTAATTCAATGACCGGCCGGCGTACGGCGATTTACATGAACGGCGGTCGACGGAGGAGGCGAGGACAGTCGGTGCATTGAGCAGCTCGCGGTGGAACGCGCGCGTAGAGAGCGGTTGTGTGCCGGCTGTTTGCCGATTCGTTGACTCGCCGGCACACTCGGTCGACTCGGGTCGAAGGCTGCCGCTCTCTCAGTCTGTCTCGCGACCGCGTGCAAGGGGGATGTTGTTCTCTGCTCTTCCTTCCGTGATACTGACTCGAAGATCATTTTACCACACTGATCATTGCGTTTCACACATGACGGATAAATCGATGCCGCGCGCGATGTGACGTGTGTAGGACGGATATCGTTGGACACCATAAAACCGTATCGGTATTGAGGGAGATTCTGTGGCTTCCTGTGCTCGTCGCTGGACCCAGTGACAACCGGGAGAGAAGGATCGTTGGTTCTGTGTGAAAAGTCGCGGGTATTTGATGCGAGGAGATGGGCAGCGAGGCGGACGCAGAGAGCACGGCTGCCAACGCCGTGGATTCGGATGGATCCGTTAGTTGGGAGGAGTTTTTCGGTAAGCTACGTTGTTTTATTTTTTCTTACAGACGAACGTCTGTATCACTACCGAAGCACCTCGTAATTTACGTTTGTTAAGTAGTATTTGATGTACGTATGTATGTGAGTTCGGACACGTGTGTGTATGTGCGTTTCATCTAGCATGGATGATGTCTTTGAGAGATACAATTATCGTCTTCGTAGGATTTAGGGTTTTAAGATTGATATTAAATGGAAATACGGTATTATTGTTATTGTAAGGCTTCGATATGGTGTTTTAAGGTTATGGATGAGCAACAGTTCTCAGGTTTCTGCAACGAACTTCGAAGTTGGTGGCGTGCCGGTTTTTTCTCGCGGGCACGTGCGTCGTTATTGTGAGGGATCATGGGAATATTATTGCGAAATATAGATTGGAACATTCGTTTTGTAGACAGAACGTTCCACGGACAGAAGTGATACGTTTCGATTGATATTCGTATATTTTTTGTGGTTTGTTGATGTTTAACGAGGCAGACGAAATTGGTCACGAACGGTGGCGAAAAGAAAACGCCAATCATGACGCTTGTAAACGATAGTCGCGTGTTCATTGTCTCTAATGCAATCGCGCGTCTTGTCGCCAGTGGATAATTCGCCTTGTTGTCGGGACGAGGGTAACTCGAGAGGAAACGTAAATTGAAAAAAGGAAAAAGTTTATATCGTTAGGTTTAATAAAGACACTTTAAGAATATTAAATATGAGGAATGATAAATGTAGATGGAGAAAATCTATGTTTTTATCTAGGATAGTCAGGCGTGGTAATGTGTAGTTTATGTCGAAAAATTATATTGCAATATCAAGATTTTTCAGTAGAATGATTCAGAATTTATCTTCTTGTGAGATAAATGTTCCCGATTGATAATACAACATAGAAAATTATACTTAATATAAAAATGGTAATATCATAATACAAACACTTCAGAGTTATCATTTGTCAGAATTGCACATGTTTGCCATTTATCTGCACGTGTTTTATATAGTTCTTGTCTTATGAGAAATATGTCCTTGTTGGTAAGGCAAGAGTTACCCAGTTCTTGAAATTCAGAAGAACTTCATAGCGGAATGGGAAGCGCAGAACGGTTTAGAATTTGCTATTCTAAAGTCTGTCAGCACAATGCTTGAAATTGGTGGTGTAAGCAATTAGGTTGTATAATTGGTAGAAATCATACATTTTTTTTTATATGTGAACTAGTCAATATTTGTTTTTATACCTGAAGTACAAAAGTTCAGTACGTAAAAATGAATTTCATCGCCGACTACAATTTTTATAGAAATTCAGAAATGATAATGAATACTGCATTGAATATTGTACTTTACGAGCGATTTGATTTGTCCGCATACGTGAAAGTGAGATTATGTAGTTTCTCCCTTATCTGTGGATTATCTGTGGAGTTTCCAAGATGCATTCGATATAGATTTTATAATTTTTTTTAATGCTTCCTTACAACTTTACCTCTCCCGTTTCCTTAAACCAGCTTATTCAGTATGAGGTTTATCACTTTTTCACGGATTATCGTGTAACAGATCGAGAAAGAACGGAAAATAAGAATTAATATTTTTTTAAGAGTCTGGACGTTTTAGCGGAAATCTTTTAAGGAAGTTGGAAAAGTTTTCGGTTTTTCTTCAATTAGAATCACGCATTAGGAAGGAACCTGTAGTTCCGACATCTTTTTGCTCTTTTTCCGTTTCCGTCGATAAAATCGCTCGGCGAATAGCGTATTTTATTACGTGAATACTGCCGTGATCGGAACAAGAGAGAAACCGTTGGAAAGAAGTGTATCGATACCAATTAAGGATTTCCCTAAAAGAAGCAGAGCGATAATCACTGTTGCTTACTTTCTACTTGTAAAAACTGATAATAAATATCACCTTGCTTGTTCTTGACTCTTAATGTACTCCTAGACGGCGGTATTAATATCTAAATTTCTTCAAATATAACAATGTTTAAGAGGAAAAAAAAATAACTAGTTTCTTCAAAGATGGCGGACAACCTTTCCCCTACTCTTGCCTTAATAACTTAATAACCTAACCTCTCGCTAACTGCATGTACTACACAAAGATTGAATATTATTTGCAATGTTACCATAAAATACGTTTCAACTTCAAGAATTCAAAGTTAGCCATTTTCCGTGAAACACCCTGTAGATGATGTCACGTTTTCAGTACGTGGAGTTCTTCGTGATTCTGTGATCTATCACCGCGAGGAAATTTCTGATTTTCATTTGCATGCCACGGCGAAGAAGCGTGCTCGTGGATGCACGCGCGCGTACGATAGCCATGAAGAAGAGGCGACTACTCGCGAGACAAGTGTGGCGAACTTAAGGATGCGACGTGGTGCACAAAAGCGTATTCTCGGCCAGTGCACGCCCAAAAATCGAGCAACCGACTCCCTTTCGTTCCGTCTGGATTTTTATAGGACCAGCCAACCGGGCCCTGGAAATTCAACGTAGCAAACGGGCACACTCATTACGGCGGTTTCTAACGAAACCTCTTGTTGAAGTTTTTGAAAGCTTGTTCAGTAAATTAATTCACTTTTGAAATTTTTGGAACGGGAAATGTTAATGAGTAGTGTCCATTGAATAAAACTACTTGTTCCTGATGCTAATGGCGGTTTCTATGAAACTTTCTTTCGAAATTGCTGAAATCTTGTTTGATGGAATAATTTGCGTGTAAAATTTCGAGGCGAAACAGCATTGGTGGGATTTAAGTAAATCATGTATGGGATCCACTAAATAAACTTTTGCTGTGTGCTCATGAAGGCGGTTTCTATGAAACTTTTTGTACGAGTGTCTAAACTTCTTTAGTCACGATAATATCAGGAGATATTAATGGAAGTTAAATTTAGTGATTCAAGGTTCGTTTTCCCGTGTTCTCATTTTCAAAGAAAATCTGCCGTAAGGTTTCTGTAATTCGCACGAAATCGAGTCGATTATCGAAGGTCATTCGGTCATAACTTCACAATTACATTTCGCTTGACGTTGCAAGTATAGGATGACCCTTTCAAAATGGCGGCTTCTTCTCGCAATTCATTAACATTCCTCGTCGAACGGTCGGCTGACGGATAACATTCCAGGATGTGTGACACCTGGGTCACAATACCTACGGCCCTGCGATCGTGTGGGCTTAGTAAAGCGTAGGCGTATCATGCTCCTCCGGCTGCATTTGTAACGCCAAGTGCCTTTGCGCGGCGAATATACTCATAGGTGCATCTACAGGCTGATTCACATCGCGCCTCGATGCGCGTCCATTAATCCTGCGTTTCGAAGCCGATGAAGATAAGGCGAAATATTATCTCTAATGCTTATTGCTGGCTCATTTGTAACCGGTGTAAGGAATACGTTTTATCGTTCCTATTATCGTGCACAGGCTGATTCACAATTATGTTTTAGATAACGTATACTTGTATTTCAAATACTAGACAAACTTTCAAAAGATATTTTAATTAATTTCTATATAAACTAATGTTTGTTGATATCCTTATTGTAAATGAATTCAAATTTTTTTATAGGGAATTCATTTTTGGTGATTCAAATTTTTTCCTTTCTCTTCATTTATTATACATTGTTTCATTTTTCCGAGGAGATCTTTCCAATTCCTTTCATTATAGTAAATTTAATTTATTACAGTAGTTTCATATTTGTGGTCCAAATTTTTTCCTTATTCCCTCTTTCTTTTTATTTTAATATGCTAACCCAATTATCTAACTTCGACAATATCCTTGGACCTTAGATTTCTCTATTTCGCTTTATCACCGCTTAAGCAAACCTGAAGGATCGTTTGATAAATCGAATTTAATCGTGCTTCCTTATGTCCTTTCTTGTGCACCGGTCGTAAAATGAGTCACCTGTATACGCACATTCGGAATTATACTTTTATGTTACAGCGCTCTTAGAAAGAACTCTTTTTACGAGTCACTTGTACCTGCTTTTCGTCACAGTTTGCATAGGACCGTGTCGGACAAATTCGTGCGTTTAAACAGAGAGATCAGGCGGATAGAGCGCACACGGAAGAGGCAACCTGTATCACGCGACGCGGTTGAGAACAAGTGGGCGACGCAGAGGACGTCGGTATTCATGTGGTAATAAGATTAACGGCGGATAAAGGAATAATTGCTGGAGAAATAGTCTCGTTCATTGTTCATTCCAATGTACATTGAGATAAATTATCAACTGGAAGTTTAATGAAACAATATTTTTCATTAATTTTTTATCAACTGATCACCCGATAGATTCTTGGAATCTTACAATTGAATTTAATTAGTGGATAACTATAAACTCGTTTATTCGACACTTTGGTGAACGTTCACATAAATATTTGTATTAGTCGGTGATAAATTAGTCACCCGGTAGATTTATAAAATTTCATAATTGAATCTCAGAGGATTGTATTGTAATTTTATGCGCTGTAAATGCATCTTTTGGTAGCGTGATTAACGAGGAGGTGTGTTTGCTTGTTGGGGAATTGTGAATTGGGCTTAATATGTTGATAATTGGATCTCGTTACGTGTGTCGCGGTATAATATACAGCCCCGGAACGTGTTAAAGTTAGGAAGCCTTAGATGTGAATATTCCGTGGCAGGAGACACGACGTTTACCCTCTATCAGCAAAGGGTTACTTGAACCCCTAATGAGGTTCGTGTATTATGTTTCTTGGGGATGTTTCTATATGCGAGGTGTCTCGCGTAACATCACCCTCGTAAATTTGAAACATCTCACCTCGCCCAAAAAGTAATTCATTTCAAACCATTAACAAATTATCTACGTCAAAATTCTGATACTTGCCCTTAAGGCTGGTCTCCATTTAAAGTGTTTCATATTATAGGTCCTGCTAACCTTAACCTCCATCTTCACAATCATTTCCTCCCTATTAATATATATAATTACTTGAACAATCATTTCTTATATTTAAGCCTGGTTTTCACGGATAATCTTTCTAATTATGGATACTATACACTATTTAGTATAACCTCAAATTGAAAAGGAA